AATTAATTTTAAAATGCATTAAATACATTAAAAAAGTAAAAATAATTTATATATATATATTATGAGAAAGGAAAAAAAGCCTTGCAGTCCTACTTAGTTATTTGACCCGGTGCTTGATTGCACTAAATGTATGAAAGAGAAAAATCAGCACTCCCAGGTAGCTTTCTTGGGATCTTCTTTTACTAAAAGTGAAAGGAACTTTCATCAGTACAAGTGGTTGCACTGATGAAAGTTCCTGAATGGAACTGAAATGTTGACTATTGAACTTTTTAGTAAAAGAAGTTCCCAAAAAAGCTAGCTGGGAGTGCTGATTTTTTATTATATGTGTATATATGACCTGCAATGGATATCTTTGAGATCACCCTAAACTTTGAAAGGACCTTCCCTTTGCCCTATACAAAATAAAGAGCCAGAAGGGGACACTTTGCTTATTGGGGCCATATGATTAAATAATCCATTGGCCATATTAATGTACCAGGGACCTGGTATGATCATATTGATTTAATGAACTAGCAAACCCACCAAATACATTGCCATGCACCCCATTAATGGCCAGAGAGTGCCACTCTAGCACTTTAAGGATTATCTAAAAGATTGACATATTGGTTTAGAGAAGACATTTCTTTAGGAAGAGAGTTAACGCCCATTCAGTTTGTTTAGTCAGGCATCTTTCCCTAGACAAATAGTCAAATTACATTCATCAGGTATGGTGGTGAGTTGTCTAGAAAGGTCACACCCCAGGCTGGCTTCCCACAAAGAAAAAGACCATTTCAGCACAGTATTACTCAAGGGACAAGGCACACAGCCTATTGCACAGGTCCTCAAACTACAGCCCCCCAGATGTTGCTGAACTACAACTCCCATGATTCTCTGGCTATCTATGTAATTCAAAGAATCATGGGAGTTGTAGTTCAGCAACATCTGGGGGGGCCAGAGTTTGAGGACCCATGGCCTATTGCATAGTGCTGGTCATGTGATTATAATCATTTACATCCCATACATGCTAAACTGCCTTTCTACTTGCTTAAATGCATTATTTTGCCACATGGTAATTAAATCTAATAGTTTGCATAATGAAATATTTGGGAGAATTGATGTGTTTAACTGATTTGAATGGATGCTGTAATCACTTTACTAACCAATTAAAATAAAGGTTTCTAAACGACCTATCCACCAAAAATATACACTTTATTTATGGTGTTTCCAGTTATATATAAATTATTTCTAATTTACTTTTATTTTATTTTTATGTTTGGAGATGTTTGTAACATTGTTGTACTAAATATATACAATATGTTCTCGCCATACATAAACCCTTTGTAAACAGTGGAGGATTGATGGAAACCGTATCGAATTACATGTTTACTTGGAAGGAATTTTAGTTTTTTTTAAAAACTATTCATTTATTTATGAGTGTAATTTATACAGTAACACAAGATAAAAACAATTTAACAGGAGTATTATCATAAACTGTGTAGTTTAAAGGGGCAACTCTAACCTCCAAAAGCACTAAAACATAATGTAGTAGTTTTGGTGCAAAGAGACTGCCCCACAGTCACAGTTTCTCATTTATTTAATTACTTTCTATTGGCTTCATGTGACGCGTGTGATAGCCACTATAGGTGGATTTAACCCTAGTTTTTTTTGTTTTTGTTTTTTTTAAACTGCAATGTTTTACATTGCAAAATTAAAAGAACAGGGTCACTGCACTCAGGCCAATACATTGAGAGGAAACAGTCTAGGTGGCTATAGTGTCCCTTTAAAATTTTAATGAAGTTGGCAACAAACTTTATACTTTTGTTATGTTTAGCTATAAAATTTTCCAACAAACTATGTCTATTTCAGGACTGTATATTAACTAATAACATCTGATGTATACAAAAGTTGTTTCATAAATAAACCCTAATTGAAACCATGATTATATCATTCCACTATTAAAACTCTATTCCCATGAAATTCACAATTAAATCTCTCTTTAGTACATAGAAAGGAAGTGGGTGGGATTGGTAAAAGTATGCAGTTCATTAAATCCACTCTGAGAGATCTACATAAACAATGTTAAGGTTAATTGTTCTCCTGTCCCAGCCATTGTAATACCAATGCTATGTTTGAATTTCAATACTTCATTATGAATATGGAGATACCAGGTGGGAGACCTTATTAGCATATTAATGGTTTTTCAAAGCCATTGACCAGTATCCAATGAGACAAATCCAGCCAATCTACCCAATAAAAACTCTTGCTACAGAATGTCAATCTATAGTTTCCTATTCATCCAGTGCATTCAAGACATCTCTCCCAGTTACAGACAACAAGGTAACCACTGGATTTACTGGTGGGGTCTGTTCTATTCTCTGAACATCCTGGATGTGTGATTGTAGTGATTTATCAAGTGTGCTGCTTTTTTCAATTACAAGGTAAATTCAATTTTCACCTCTTAGCATTATAGTCTTTTTTTTTTTTTCACCAAAATGATTGCACTTTAGTCACTCAGATTTTATCCAAGTGATTCAATATAACTTTAAACTGATCAGCTGAGCGTGGAAGTTATGTAGACATAGTTATTTTATTGGGTTCAATGTGTGTTTTTTTTTTTTTTAATAAATGTGATAGTGTTACACTATATAGTCTTTACCTTTTTAAGGTACTGGAATATATCTGCACCACCTGAATATTAAATACAAAGTTGTAGGACTGAAAAGCTTTTAGAACACTGTTTTTCCATTGAAGGCTGTTGCTAGCATAACTGTATGCTCATTCACTGTATGTGCCAGATTGTATTTGTATGTTTGGACACTTAGGTATTAGCCATATGAATAGGCCCTTGTACAACCCCTGGCAAGTTTGTTTTTTAGGGACAGACCTACTAAGCGCTTGCATAAATGTTGTTTTTTTTTATTTGTTAAAAATAACAGTTTTTTAAGGTGTTTTGATTCCCAGCGGCTGTTTTATTGATTTTGTTTTTTCGTATATTTTTTTTTTATTATTTAAAAAAACTTGTTTGTGCTTCTCTAAATAGTTTTTATTAGAATGGAGTGATATAGCTGAATGTTACATTTACCATGTCTTCTGCCTAGAATGTAATCATTCCCAGCATGCATCTGATCTATTTTTCCTTTTTTACCTACATAACACAGTATGTGCAACATCATGGGTTAAATGTGTTTATTTGCTTTAAAATTAAACTTAAAACATAAATGTAAAAATTGTCAGATATAAAATTGTGCAAAAATCTCAGATATGGCAGTTTCTCTTTATTAATACATTATAGTATTTAAAGCATGTACAAAGTATGTTATAGAACTATAACAATGTTCCATTTAAAATTTATATTTGGTCTTGTGATCCTAATGAAAACCTTATCCTTTCAGTTGTAATCCTAGTTTTTCTACTGTTCTAATATGATCAATATATAACTCACTTTGTCATTTTATGATGGTATTTTGTGTCTTACATTTTGATTAGATATTCTTTAAAGGACCACTACAGTGCCAGGAAAACAAACTCCTTTCCTGCACTATAGTGCCCTGAGGGTGCCCTCACCCTCAGGGTCCCACTCCCGCCGGGCTGAAGGGGGAAGAAGGGGGATAAACACTCACCTTTCTCCAGCGCTGGGCTCCCTCGGTGCTGGGGACTCTCCTCCTCCTCCGCATTCAGTCAGTCCATAGGAAAGCATTCTCAATGCTTTCCTATAGACATTGGCGTCTTCTCACTGTGAAAATCACAGTGAGAAGTGTGGAAGCGCCTCTAGCGACTGTCAATGAGACAGCCACAGAGACTGGATTAACCCTCAAGTAAACATAGCAGTTTCCCTGAAACTGCTATGTTTACAGCAGTAAGGGTTAATCCTAGATGGACCTGGCACCCAGACCACTTCATTAAGCTGAAGTGGCCTGGGTGCCTATAGTGGTCCTTTGAGCAATGTAATGACTCAATCTTTGTGTTGTCATTATGTTGGCTTGGTTTTTGTTGTGCTGTTCCCTGGTTTTATGTCAAACTATTTAAAGGTTGTTTGATATAAACTAAAAATGGTCATGTTTTGATTTGTTAATTTTTGAATTTCGGACACCTCATTATTCCCTGCAGGGTATAAATGAAGGAGGCAATCACATAGTTACAAAGCACCAATTTATGGAATATCTACAAAAAAAGTAATTTTCCTACTTTTGCTCTTTTAGCTCTTTAGTAGATAACTTCCTATTTTGCTAACCTTGTCAAAACAAATGGCTCAGTAACAAGTTACTGCTTTTGCTATCTTTGCGGTGGTTCAAACCTTTTTTCACTTTTTTCTTGCTTGGTAATGTTTTGATTCATTTTGATTTGTTTACTTTCAATTCAGACCCTTTTGAATTGCAGAATTTGGATGAATTCGGTCAAAATTAATTTAATTCCAAAACAAATTGCACATGTGTAATTTAAACCAAAGCTCTAGAAGGCAACTGCCAAGTTAACCACCACCAGGAGACCAACATATCACATACCAACAGGAGGAGAATCGGGTGGGGGGGGGAGGAGGAGGAGAATCTGGGGGGGGGAGGAGGAGAATCTGAGGGGAGGAGGAGATGCTGGGGGGAGAAGAGGAGAGGAGGAGATGCTGGGGGAAAGAAGATAATTAATTTGGACAACTGTATGAGTTGTTTTTTCTAAACTTAAACCTCAGTATTCAGGTTTATTTGCCGTGTTGGCACTTTGAGGAAAAAAAGTTGGCATGCATTGCGGTTTGGGCACTCGGGCTCAAAAAGGTTCACCATCACTGTTCTAGAACCTGGTAAGTATCGCTTTGTTTATAGAAACAAATTTAAAAAGTTGAATTTTTTTCACCTTTTGTACTTTATTTATTTGGCAAGGAAGTCAAGTTTTATCACACTAATTTTTAAAATTAACTTATAATATAATAAGCAAGAAAAAAAAATAATAGAATGTAACCTGAAAATAAATCTTATATTATATTGGTTGTTTATTTTTTTTTATAGATAGTACAGCTTCTGGATACCATAGAGATGGATATTTTAAAAGCTGAGATTGCCCGGAAGAGGAAGCAACTAGCAGAGAAAGACCTGTTTGTGGAAGGAAAAACATATTTTAAGCGCAGTGAACTTGCTGAAAAAGAAAAGGAATACTATTTTGAAAGATGTGGCTTCACGGTGCAGAGCCAAGATGAAGAAGAAGAGAAGGTGCCTACATCATCAAATAATCCAGGTCTGGATTTGGAGCTGGTTGAAGAGAAGATACCAGTGACTCTCTCAAACCAGGAGGTCATTCGGAGGTTAAGAGATAGAGGTGAGCCAATCCGGCTCTTTGGAGAAACAGATTATGATTCATTTCACAGGTTGAGAAAAATTGAGATCCTTGCTCCGGAAATAAACCAAGGTTTAAGAAACGATTTGAAAGATGCCATGGATGAGATTGACCAACAATATTTAATTGAACTTGGCCAGGAGACAAGAGAGAAGGATACTCAGAACGATTTGAAAGTCCATGAAGAAAACACAACAATTGAAGACCTTGTGGCTTTGGGAGAGTGTTTAGGAAAAGGGGATGATATCAAAGACATGGGCATAATAAACAAAGTTCTGAGATTCCTTCTTGGTGTATGGGCTAAAGATCTAAATTCAAGGGATAACAGTGTGAAATGTAGCATTTCAGGGAAAGTGGCAAGTGCCACCCATAAGCAAACTGAATCCTATCTAAAACCATTGTTTCGGAAGCTGCGGAAAAAAACTCTGCCTGCTGACATCAAAGAATCGATAACAGACATTATTAAATTCATGTTGCAAAGGGAATACGTAAAGGCAAATGATGCCTATCTGCAGATGGCAATAGGCAATGCACCATGGCCTATGGGTGTTACAATGGTGGGTATTCATGCCCGTACAGGCCGTGAAAAAATCTCTTCCAGGCATGTGGCGCATGTGCTGAATGATGAAACTCAGCGGAAATACATTCAGGGACTGAAGAGATTAATGACTGTTTGCCAAAAGCATTTTCTAACTGATCCTTCAAAGTGTGTGGAGTACAATGCATTGTGAAAAAATAAATACCAATAATATATTCTTCTATTAATTGAATATTTTAGACCATATTTTAGAGTACTCCTGCAAATGATTCAGATTTTCTGTTTTGTTGAGAATGTGAGCCACTAACTTTTGTGATAACTGTGCTTTTATACACAAATTTTATTTTAATTTATTTCATTATAGTTTTTTTAATGCAGAATTTTGAGAAATAAAAATAAATGGTTTTCCATGGTCCTCAGTGATGTATAAAAGCAGTCACTTATTCAGGGGTGGACTGACATCTTACAGGGCCCCCAGACAATGGAGATCAAGGCCTCCCCCAGTGCAAGGATCTTTGGCAACAAAGGCAAGGATGCATTTTGCCGCCCCTCCTTCCTTCCCACTCCTCCTCTTCTACATTAAGGGAAAAAGGTATTTGATCCCCACTGACAAATGATCAGTCTATAATTGTAACGGTTAGTGTATTTTGACAGTGAGAGCCAGAATAACATAAAAAAAATCCAGAAAAATGCATGTCAAAAAAGTTATAAATTGATTTGCATGTCAATGAGTGAAATAAGTATTTGACCACTAAGACGTAGTGGCAAAACCTTTGTTGGCAATCACAGAGGTCAGACGGTTCTTGTAGTTCGCCACCAGGTTTGCACACATCTCAGGAGGGATTTTGTCCCACTCCTCCTTGCAGATCCTCTGCAAGTCATTAAGGTTTCGAGGCTGACGTTTGGCAACTCGAACCTTCAGCTCCCTCCACAGATTTTCCATGGGATTAAGGTCTGGAGATGGCTGTGCTTCTTCTTTAACCATTCTTTTGTTGCCTCAGCTGTGTGTTTTGGGTCATTGTCATGCTGGAATACCCATCTTTAATGCCCTGGCTGAGGGAAGGAGGCTCTCACCCAAGATTTGACGGCACATGGCCCCGTCCATCATCCCTTTGATGCAGTGCAGTTGTCCTGTCCCCTTGGCAGAAAAACACCCCAAAAGCATAATGCTTCCATGTTTGATGGTGGGGATTAGAGATGTCGCGAACCGTCCGAACTTCTCGCGAACGGTTCGCCACGGTTCGCAGCGAGCTGTTCGCGGCGAACTCAGGTCAGCTGACACATCCCGGCCAATCTCCAGCAGACCCTCCCTCCCAGACCCTCCTACTTCCTGGACAGCATCCATGTTCGCCGCGAACAGCTCGTGGCGAACCCAGGCGAACCGTTTGCGAGAAGTTCGCGGACGGTTCGCGACATCTCTAGTGGGGATGATGTTCTTGGGGTCATAGGCAGCATTCCTCCTCTTCCAAACACGTTGAGTTGATGCCAAAGAGCTTAATTTTGTTCTCATCTGACCACAACACTTTCACCCAGTTCTCCTCTGAATCATTCAGGTGTTCATTGGTAAACTTCAGACAGGCCCGCACATGTGCTTTCTCGAGCAGAGGCACCTTGCGGGCACTGCAGGATTTCAGTCCTTCACTGTGTAGTGTGTTACCAATTGTTTTCTTGGTGACTATGGTCCCAGCTGCCTTGAGATTATTAACAATATCCTCCCGAGTAGTTCTGGGCTGATTCCTCACCATTCTCATGATCATTGAAACTCCACAAGGTGGGATGTTGCATGGAGAACCAGACCGAGGGAGACTGACTGTTATTTTGTGGTTCTTCCATTTGTGAATAATTGCACTGTTGTCACCTTCTCACCAAGCTGCTTGGCGATGGTCTTGTAGCCCATTCCAGCTATGTGTAGGGCTACAATCATGTCCCTGACATTCTTGGACAGCTCTTTGTTCTTAGCCATCGTGGAGAGTTTGGAATCTGATTTGCTTCTGTGGACAGGTGTCTTTTATACAGGTAACGAGCTGAGATTAAGAGCACTCCCTTTAAGAGAGTGCTCCTAACATCAGTTCGTTATCTGTATAAAAGACACCTGGAAGTCAGAAATCTTGCTGATTGAAAGGGAAATCAAATACTTATTGACATGCAAATTAATTTATAACTTTTTTGACATGCATTTTTTTTTCTGGATTTTTTTTTTTTTGTCATTCTGCCTCTCACTGTTTAAAATACACTTACCATTAAAATTATAGACGGATCATTTCTTTGTCAGTGGGCAAACGTTCAAAATCAGCAGGGGATCAAATACTTTTTCCCTCACTGTACCTTTTAATTGTGCAGCTCTCACACAGATACAAGTTACATCAACAAACTGCCCAGCAGCCAGATTGACTAATTGAGAGTCACGCAATAATGACTGCCACACCTGCAGAGGTCCGAAACAGGCACTTGACATTTTCAAAATTAAAAATTGGCCTTTTTGTTTTTTTAAATCAAACATTTTTTGACAAAATGCTCCACTTTGACAATCTCAGTGACCAAGTTAGATAATGTGGCTTGTTGTATCCATAGATAGAACCTTTTATTAATACCAGGTTTTGTTTGTGCGAGCTGTGTTTTTTTTTTCAACCAATAACATAGATTTAACTTCAATCTGATATGAAAATAACGAGATCATTGCCGGATCAATGAGATCATGGAAAAGCTTGTCAAGGGAGTGTTGCACAAGATTATGTCATAAGTAGAATGCAATAACAGCCAAAAACGCACACAGGTGTTTATTTATTAAACCGTAAATTGTAGTGAATTAAAAATCAAATGGCAATATAGGGAAAATTCTACTATTGCTCTGTTTTCCAACTTGGCTAATATGGCCTATATTTGGCTCTAAACACATAATGAGTTTTCAGAACTATCCGAGAGGACACCCATAGGCTATTGTTATAGTTTCTATTTTGTGAGAGGCTTAATTATTGAGTGTGTGTGTGCTCCAAATAATCAATCTACATTATTATCTGTAATCAATTAACCTGCATTATTATGGGTTTATTGTTTTGTAGAAACACTGTATCCCTTTTTTGTTTTCTAATTTCCTATTTGAGTTATTACAAGGGACGATCTCTAGGGAACCATTATATTTACATACAAACTTACATATTTTTACAGTTTGTTATTTTTATTACACGCATACTATACATGGCTTATAACAAATGACTAGATAAGTTATTTTTATTCACAAGATAATCCTGGAGTGAATTCTTGAATTTGTACATTGGAGATTATATTATAGTATTGGAAACAAAAGCAACTTGCAATGGTTCCACAATAAAGCTTTAGGTTATGGAAGTAGTATCAGTAACGTTGAGTAGATTGCTGCCTTTGAACAGAGACAAATATTGAAGGGTAGTGTAAATCTCTGCTCCACCAACATTAACTTAAAGAGACACTGCCGGCACCAAAACAACTTCATCTAAATGAGGCACTTTTACCCAGGCCCGGACTGGCCATCGGGCACACCGGGCAAATGCGCGGTGGGCCGCGGTGGCCATGGGCCGAGACCACCAGGGATCGTGTGTGAATGCTGGTCCCCCACCCCCCCCCACTCACCAGCGTGCCGGACCCCTCCTCCTCCCAGGCTAAAGGTAAGGGGGGAGATAATGCATGATTAGTGTTTTTGTTTATTTACCCCCTTATTTTTATTTTTTTTGTATATTTATTCCCACGTAGGTTTTTATTTGTTTATTTACCCCCCAACACACAACATTTATACTCAGCACTCTCACACTCAGCACACTCAGCACTCACACACATCATACACAGCACTCACACACATCATACACAGCACTATTACACTCAGCACTCACACACATTATACACAGCACTCACACACATCATACACAGCACTATTACACTCAGCACTCACACACATCATACACAGCACTCACACACATCACACTCAGCACTCACACACATCATACACAGCACTATTACGCTCAGCACTCACACACATCACACTCAGCACTCACACACATCATCAGCACTACACAGCACTCACACACATCATACACAGCACTCACACACACATACTGCACCCCTCACATACACACACAACCCCCCGATACACTGCATCACACACATACACAATACTTCCAAACATATTTATAATATATATATATATATATATACACACACAGCACCCCTCACACACACACACACACACAGCACCCCTAAACACATTTCATTCCAGACACACACTAGATCCTCTACCCAACTCTGAATCATCTACACACACTAGATCCCTATATACACTCTGAATCCGTTATATACGCACGCTCACTAGATCTCCCATACGTAGTCTGGGTCCTTCACACACACACACACACACACACAGTCTGGATCCCCTATACGCACACTAGATTCCTTGTAAGCAAACCCATACATTCCCTGAACACACACACACACACACTATAGCCTGTATATACACACACACACACACACACACTATAGCCTGTATACACACACTTGCTACATCCCCTATAGACACATTCTCTACAGCCCCTAGCCACATATGCATTACATTACACCACAAACACAACACGACTAAAACCGACATTATTACACAATACCACACCACGACCAGCTCACTCTGCACACACGCAATACCACAAGCAGGCTCCAAACACATGCACAATACTCTTTCCTGGCCCTTTTGTCTCCTGGTATCCATTTATAGAGACACCAGAGACAAGTTGCAAGGAAACACAGTGCAAGCATGTTATTAAATTTGCTTGCACTGCACAGAACAAATACAGGGCTTTTTTTCTCATGCTAGAGCTCTTCAGCAGAGCTCTGTGCATGGTCTGCCCTGGAAGAGCATTGAACCAACATGCTCACTTTGAGAGGGCGCGTGTTTGTCATGAGTGATGACAAAACACACCCTCTCTGCCCCGCCCCCTTCTTAATGGGCCGCTGTGATAAAAAAAATGCCTGGGCCGAATTTTTTCCCCAGTCCGGCCCTGCTTTTACCTCTAGGGGTTAAACTGTTCTCAAACAATTTAACCCAAAGTTGCCACTAGCAATGGTCTCCACTCTCTCCGGCACCATCTGGCTTGTAAATTTTCAGATTTAGGAAGTTCAGAGTGCTGCCAATTGGTTGAGAGCAGTCAACTGACAATCGCAGCCGATCAGTGACTC